TTCGCGTGAGTGGACCACTCATTGTGACAAGGTTGGCGAAAGTGTACTGGGTCACGGCGGGAGATATGCGAGGAAGCCCTGATTGACCAATCACGCTTCAGTGTACGCGTTGGATGGGAAAAAACGAATACCTAGTAAAATCATGACCAGGTACATGCAGAGGGGATAGAAATTTGGAACCGCGTGCGATGGCAGGTCATTGTCACGCTGGTGTTCAATTAGCCCGCGACAGTTCCGTGGTTCACGCCAGCCAATCGGAAAAACGTTTTGCGACTTTGATGCGCGGTTCGAAATTCCGACACATGGCAGCCAGGGCCTCAGATTCGTTTTGGGTGACCCTGAGCACTCAGGGTCCTTTGGGGCTGTAACACTGATCATCAGGGTTGTAAATGGAGAAACACTGATTTCTCAGGGTTAGAAAAAAAAAAACCCTGACACATCAGCGTGAGTTTTAAAAAAACACTGGCGGTGAGAATCCACAACAACTATCACAAGTATAATAAGTTAAGAAAAGTTCAAATATGGTTCTAATGAGCTTCTAATCTAACTACAGGCACAGACCACTTGGCGCTCACACCGCACACACAATTCACATCACACACATGTCTTCATCTTCGTCACTACCACCACCATCGCTCATAGAACCGTGCCTGTACACAGGGGTCTCTGTCCCCCACCCAGAGCCAGCACCACCAGCATCATCCTCGTCCACCTTCTCTTTCCCCTTAGCACTAGGTTGCTTCTTTGGTGCTGCCACTGTTGTGATGGGCTTGCGCTTCTTGTACGCCCTCCAGATCTTCACCACCTCCGCCCAGTCGGGCTCGTACGGCAGCAATGCCATGCACATGAGGATGTTAGAATGAGAGAATGTTGGAATCACTGAACAGGAATGAATGAACTAGCAGTGAAATGAGTACAAGTACCTAACCCTAGAATTGTGTACCCCCTATAGGCTAACCCACTGTAGCCTAAACTAACACAACATATATAATGTTTGACACACCCCCATAGGCAAAGTGGGGGAGAACTAGGGGTCACAAGACCAGTCAAGGCAAAGCAAGGCAAAACAAGCTCAGGGTGGTTCTCAAGGATACCACACAAATTCCGAGCACAAGCAAGTGGTCACAAGACCAGTTCACATGCAGTTTTATAATAGAGCAAAAGGTACAATGATCACAACCTAGCAAGAGTAAACATGCAGGTATATATATATATGTATATAGAAATCACAGTACAAACAGACTCAAGAAGTACGCAAGTGAGGTCCAGTAGGCACAAGGCCTAGAAGAGTGCAAAAGCGCTGATGGTCACAAGGCTGAAGCGCCTTGGTGAACACATCAGCAGTGTTGGCCTCAGAGGCCACGTAACGCAGGAAAAGCTGACCACGCTGCTGTAGTTCTCGAGCAAGGAAGTAACGCAGAGCAATGTGCTTCGTTCTGTGTTCCAATCTGTGCTCCTCACACAAGGCAATGGCTGCCTTGTTGTCGACGTCTGAGTGCCCAGTGAGAACAACTGGGACTCGCCCTCCAAGCACTAGCCCCATGCCCGACGTACTGCACAAGTAGCGCAACACCCTCTTAGCTGCATCCATGTGCTCCTTCCGGTGACGGCCGGGAGCGACATAGCGTGCAAGAATGCTGAGAGGGTATGCAAGGTCTGGTCGAGTGCAGGTCATCAGGTACATGAGGCAACCCACAAGCTCTGGATACGGGCCACTCGGCTCTACGGACTCATCCGAAGGCAGAGCTGAGAGCGAGTGACCGGTAGGCAGAGGAGTGGGCTGAGGCGAGGAGTACGTGAAGCGGAAGCGCTGAAGGACCTGCTGCACCATGTGTGATTGAGTCAAGGTGATGGTGCGGCGTGCTCTGTCCCGGGTGATCCGCAAGCCAAGATAGCTTGTTAGTTCACCCAGGTCTGTGCACGTGTGTCTCTTCTGCAGCTCCGACTTCACGTGGGCGAGTGCCACAGTGTCAGCAGTAGCAAAGACCAAGTCGTCGACGTACACAAGGACGTAGAACGGCGGCAGTGAGGTGTCGGTGCGTAGAAATAGCGACGGGTCAGCAGTAGAAGGCGCGAACCCAAGAGTCGCAAGCGTAGTCCTCATTGTGTCGTGCCACTCACGAGGCGCCTGGCGGAGACCGTAGACTGGCCGTCGGAGGCTCCACTGGGTACCAGGAGGGAACGACCCAGTGAAGCCATGTGGACAGCGCAGCCAGATCTCCTCGTGCAGGCTGCCCTGCAGGAAAGCAGTGCTGAAGTCAAGCGAGTGGAGCTCGTAGTCACACTGAGCGGCGACGTGCAGCAGAACCCGAAGAGTGGTCATCTTCGTGGTCGGGGAGAAGGTTTGGAAGAAGTCAACTCCCTCTCGCTGACTGAAGCCTCGTGCAACGTAACGCGTCTTGAAGACAGGCGGAGAGCCCGGCGGCCGCTTCACCCTGAAAATCCACATGCCACTGACGATGTTCGCCCCAGGTGGGGGAACCTCGTCGACGTAGGTGCCTGTGGACTTCCAGGAAGCCATCTCTGTGTCCATGGCTGACTGCCACTGAGAGGAGTAGGGACCGGCCATCGCCTCTGCGTAAGAGCGTGGGGTCGGGATGTCTGGTGCATCCGGGTCTCCCTCAGGGGCAACAAGCATGGACACGAGATGAGGCAAAGCGGCAGCAAAGCACTCAAACTCCTCCTGCCTGTCCTCAAGGACGTCAGTGCCAAGAGCACACTCACCCCCGACGGACGGAGGACAGACAGACTCAGACTCAGCAACTAGGCTAGCAGCGTAGTCTAGACGACAGCGAGCAGCAAAGTCGACAAGCTCAGCAACTAAGGCAGACGCAACAGCAGACTCAAAGGAAGGGTCAGTGACAACAGTAGCCAGGAGACGCGTGACAGTAGGACTGGTAGCACGAAGAGAGTCTGACCCAGGGTCAGCAAGAGCAGGAAGAGAGGAAGCAGGAGGAGACAGCAGTGGGACACGCTGTGGAGCAGTGGACGGACGAAGCGCCATCCGGTGAGTGCCTGGGACAGCAGGAAGACGCTGACGCTGGACTCGACTACTAGAGAGAGCAGTGCGGGCAGGCGACTCAGGACGAGACTCAGGCGACGCAGGACGAGACGTAGGCTCACGCCGCTCAGTAAGACCTCCAGCCAGACCAGTGTAAGGAGCAGGACCAGGGAGAGAGGAGGCAGACGGTAGCTGCGACTGCAGCTTGACAGGCGGAGGACATGCTAAGGAGGAAGGAGGAAAAGGAGGAGGAAGCTGACCAAGAACCTGCTGAAGGAGCGGAACAAAGTACGGCCGAGACAGAGCAGCGACACCAGAACAAGCAGGGACACCCGCACCAGGGTCCGCAGCACCAGCAGCAGCTCCAGCGCCCACGTCCTTAGCACCAGCAGCAGCTCCAGCGCCCACGTCCTCCGCACCAGTGACAGCTCCAACGCCCGGGTCCTCAGCACCAGTAGCAGCTCCAACGCCCGGGTCCGCAGCACCAGCGGCAGCTCCAACGCCTGGGTCCTCAGCACCAGCAGCAGCTCCAACGCCCGGGTCCTCAGCACCAGCAGCGGCTCCAACGCCCGGGTCTTCAGCACCAGCAGCAGCTCCAACGCCCGGGTCCTCAGCACCAGCAGCAGCTCCAACGCCCGGGTCCTCAGCACCAGCAGCAGCTCCAACAGCAACGGGGTCCGTAACACGAGGCACGCCACTCCGAAGAGTGCAGCGCCGCTCGTACCACTCACGGATCCGCTCGCGGGAGGGGAGCTCCCGAACGGGAGAAGAAGCACTAGCACCAGTCCCAGTAGTACGTCCGGCTGGAGCGGTACCTCTCCGGAGGCTGCAGTACTCTAAGTACCACGCACGCAGCTGCTCCGAGGAGAGGGCTCCTCCAGGTGCAGGACTCCCAGGCCTAGTACCTCCAGACTCAGAACCCCCAGTCTCCGGACTCCGCAGCTCAGCACCACGAGGCTCCACACCCCCAAGCTCAGCACCCTCAAGCTCCACACCCCCAGGCTCCACACCCCCAGGCTCCACACCCCCAGGCTCAGCACCCCCAGGCTCAGCACCCCCAGCAGGACGAGAGTCGACAGCTACCTCAACAGGCTCAACCGGATCTACTTGAGACACACCTGAGGGAGCGGCACCCTGAGGGGGGAGGGGGTCTGCAACAGCAGCACCTGGCGCGAGGAAGAGAGGCGGGGGGGGGAGCGGGGCAGTGCGGTAGGGGAAGAGGCGGTAGTAGGGGACGGACTCGTCAAAAGTGACGTCCTGGGAGGGCAAGACTCGGCGCGAGGTGGCGTGGTAAAACTGCCAACCAGACGCGTCCGGGACAAAGCCGAGGAAGACGCAGGGAACAGCACGGGAGGAGAGCTTGTCCACAGACGAATCGCGGACAAAAGCTCGAGACCCCCAGACCCGGAAACGCGACGCATCGCCAACCTCCCCCGTCCACAGCAGCGTGGGCGAGGTCTCCGGCAAGGAGACACGGGGCCAGAGGTTGAGCTGATGCGCAGCGTACCGGACCGCAAACGGCCACAGAAAGTGGGGGGCAGCCGCATGGATCAAGGAGGTACGGGCGACCTCCATGACCAGGCCAATGCGGCGCTCCGCAACCCCATTCTGCTGTGGAGAAGCCGGAAGCGTGAACGACTGCTCAATGCCGTGCTCAGCACAGTAGGCTGCCAAGAGGTCGGAGGAGAACTCACCACCTCTGTCAGAGTGCAAGCGCAGGACAGGAAAGTCCGAGTGAGAACGCTCGCTGAGCTGGAGACGGGCTCTGCGGATCCAAGGGATCAAGACATCAGGGACCTCACCCTTGGTGCGCAAGGGGAAGACCGAGGTGTAGCGCGAGTAGTCGTCAACAACTATCAGGAAGTACCTCTCCTCACCTGCCTCTGCCGCACTAGGCCGTCTCTCCCTCCCCTACCTGTTTCCCGACCTGGCCTCCTTTTACACAGTCGCTGACCTCATCACGCACCTCCGTACTAGTGAGGCCCGCTTCCGTGCCGCCATGCCTGCTGAGTTCCTTGCCACGCACCCCCCTCCACTCTGGCTCACTCTCTACCACCTAGTCACCCGCCTCCCTGACACACTTCGTGCTGTCAGGGACCACTTCCTAGCTCGTTGCCCCACTGAGCTCACCATTGCCCTCCTCGAGAAGGAGCTACTTGCAGCTTAGACTAGCATAGTCGCTGTAGGTGCCTCTCGTGGCGACCCCCGTACCCCGTTCTTTGAGGGGTGTTCTCCTTCCCCCCTTCTTCCCTCTGTCGCCTCTGCTGCTGCTGTCGACCTTCTTGGTACTGAGAAGGTCGGCGCCGCGTCTGCCTCGAGCGGACGCCGCAGTGGCAAGGGCAAAGGGGGCAAGGGTGGTGGCGGTGACGGCGGGGCAGGCGGCGGTGGGGGCGGTGGAGGCAGTGGGGGTGGTGGCTCGGCTGGAGGGGCGAGTGGTAGCGGTGGGGGTGGTGGCGGCAGCGGCAGGGGAGGTGGCAGGAGTGGAGGCGGCGGTTGGGGTGGCGGTGGACGAGGCGGCGGCAAGGGTTGGGGTGGTCGAGGAGGTGGCAGCGGTGGTGGTGGCCGTGGAGGCACTGGCGGTGGCCAGGGCCAGCAGCACACTCCCTCGCCCAAGGAGGTCCGTGAGTGGTACTCTCAGCACGGGGGTGGGGGTGGTCTTAGCTGCACGTACGTCATTCGCACTGGTGACCGCACTGGTCAGCAGTGTGGACGACCGCACGCCACACAGCGCTGCTTCTCTCGTCTCGACGACGCTTGGCGTGTTCAGTTCCCTCAGGCCACTGAGCTGCCCCGCTGGCTTGATCTCCTGAAGAAGGGGATTGATATCTATGCTCTAGACTTTGATGCTATTCTATCTGCCATGTATGTGATGTCTACTAGTGGAGAGGGTGCTGAGTACTTGTGTGTGCCGCCCGACCCGGGCATAAGGGCCAGTGCGTCTGCCGCTCCAGGTACTCGCGTGTCGGCTACCCCAGGTGCTGGTGAGGCTGCTGCTCTAGGTGCTCGTGTGTCTCCCCCCCTTGGTACTGCGTCGACTGCCGCACTGCACACCTTCACACTGGACTCAGGTGCTTCTCGCTGCTTCTTTCGTGACCGCACTGCCCTTGAGCCGCTTGCTCGGCCAGTTGCTGTCTCCCTTGCTGACCCCTCTGGGGGTCCGGTCATTGCGACCTCCTCCACTGTCCTTCCCTGCCCTGCGGTCCCGTCAAGCACACTGTCAGGTCTCCACCTCCCCTCGTTCTCTACGAACTTGGTGGCAGGATGTGCACTCCAGGACGGGGGTGTTCACCAGTTCACCCCTGCCTACGAGCGCGTGACACACTGCACGTGTGCTCGTACGGGCCGTCACTTGGCTACCTTCACTCGGCAGCCGGGGTCGGACCTGTACACACTGACTACTGAGTCCCCTCAGGTTGCTGCGACTGCGTCCGCGTCCGCGTCAGGTCAGCTGTCCGCCCCCTGCTCGTGTCGCTCGTTGGCACACGAGACTGTCCTCTGGCACCACCGCCTTGGCCACCCGTCTGTGCAGCGGCTTCGTGCCATGCACTCCCGGTACCTTGTCTCTGGCCTGCCCAGGGTCCTTCCTGCCCTCCCACCCTCGCCTGCTCCTACCTGTCTCCCCTGTGTCGAGGGACGGCAGCGCGCCGCTCCTCACTCCTCCTCGTTCCCCCCGACGACTGCTCCCTTGCAGACACTCCACATGGACGTGTGGGGTCCAGCCCGCGTCCGTGGTCAGGGTCAGGAGAGGTACTTCCTGATAGTTGTTGACGACTACTCGCGCTACACCTCGGTCTTCCCCTTGCGCACCAAGGGTGAGGTCCCTGATGTCTTGATCCCTTGGATCCGCAGAGCCCGTCTCCAGCTCAGCGAGCGTTTTCACTCGGACTTTCCTGTCCTGCGCTTGCACTCTGACAGAGGTGGTGAGTTCTCCTCCGACCTCTTGGCAGCCTACTGTGCTGAGCACGGCATTGAGCAGTCGTTCACGCTTCCGGCTTCTCCACAGCAGAATGGGGTTGCGGAGCGTTCGTCTATCGGCAGGGAGTTGCGAATGGCAAAGCGAGCGTGGGCATCACGAGTCTGCCACTGTGAGCGAGCAGTGCTGTCAGCAGTAGCAGCAGGGGCAGTGACATGGCCTAGGGCGTGATCGTACAGTGAGATGTCATCCTTGGCTGTGAGCTGTAGGTAGAGGTGCAGGTCATCGAGCCAGGTGTCAAACTTCACAGGGCGGCCCTCAGCATCGAACACGAGAACCTATGGGCTAGCCATAGGAACAGTAGAAATAGCAGCAGTAGCAGTAGGAGAAGCAGGTAGGACGAACCAGGTAGGGCAGGACGGCGCGGCTCGGTTCAGGTCGGGTCGCGGCTCGGCTGGGTGGGGCGGCTCAGCTCGGGGCGCGCGGCTCGGCTCGGGGAGCGCGGCTCGGGTCGCGCGGCTCGGGTCACGGCGGGGACGGGCCGCGCGCTCTCCCTCGTGTGCTGCGGCGGGAACGGGCCGCCCGGGGCCTCTAGGTGGTGGGCACGGGTTGGCGAGGTCGGCACGGGGCCGGTTGAGGCCCTTGAGGGGCGAGCGCGGGGCCGATCGGGGCCTGAGCGGGGCTAGCGCGGGGTCAAACGGGGCTAGCAAGGGGCCGACGGGGCCTGAACGGGGCTAGCGCGGGGCCGACGGGGCCTGAAACGGGGCCGACGGGGCCTGAAACGGGGCTAGCGCGGGCCCGATCGGGGCCTGAATGGGGCTAGTGCGGGGCCGACGGGGCCTGTAACGGGGCTAGCGCGGGCCGACGGGGCCTGAGAGGGGCTAGCGCGGGGCCGACGGGGCCTGAAACGGGGCCGACGGGGCCTGAACGGGGCTAGCGCGGGGCCTGAACGGGGCCTTAAAGGGGCCGACGGGGCCTGAACGGGGCCGCTAGGGAGAGCGGGCGTGGGGCCGACGGGGCCTGAACGGGGCTAGCGCGGGGCCGTCAAGAGGGGCCTCTAGGGGCGTGACACGCCGAGGCGCCCTAGGGCACAGGTAGGTAGGTAGTTACGTAGTGGTGGGCCCTTAGAAAATTTCGGTCCTAGGAAGGACCTGCTCTATACCATGTTGGAATCACGGAACAAGAATGAATGAACTAGCAGTGAAATGAGTACAAGTACCTAACCCTAGAATTGTGTACCCCCCTATAGGCTAACCCACTGTAGCCTAAACTAACACAACATATATAATGTTTGACAGAGAAGTGTGTGAACTAGAAAGGAATGGGAGTACAAGTACCTAACCCTACAATGATGTACCCCCTAAAGGCTAACCCACTGTAGCCTACACAAATACAACACATATATTGTTTGACACACCCCCATAGGCAAAGTGGGGGAGAGCAAGGGGTCACAAGACCAGTCAGGAAAGGCAAGCAAGCTCAGGGTGGATCACAACGTCACCACACATTCCGAGCACAAGCAAAGGGCCACATGATCCAGTTCACATACAGAAGTATATATAAGTAGTACAAACAACAAAGGTGATCTCAGCCTAGCAGAGCAAACAGGCAGGAGTATATATAGAGATCACAGTACAGGCAAAGCCTACAACAAGTGAGGCAAAGTGGGCACCAGCCCCAAAAAAGTACAGAAGCGCTGATGATCACCAGACTGAAGTGCCTTGGTGAATATATCAGCGGTGTTGGCCTGAGAGGCCACGTAACGCAGACAAAGCTGACCACGCTGCTGCAGCTCACGAGCAAGGAAGTAACGGAGAGCGATGTGCTTCGTTCTGTGCTCCAGTCTGTGCTCCTCACACAAGGCAATGGCAGCCTTGTTGTCGACGTACAGCACTGGAGGAGAACTAGGCCGCTCTCCAAGGTCGGTCAGCAGGTAGGTGAGCCAGCGTAACTCCTATGCAGCCATGGCTGTGGCGTAGATCTCAGCCTCACAACTGGAGCTGAGAACTGAAGACGAACGCGTAGAGCGCCACGAAACTGAACCAGAGCCAAGGCTGAAGGTATAACCCTGTGACGACCGCTGAGTAGCCTGGTCATCAACCCAAGAAGCGTCTGAGTGCCCAGTGAGAACAACTGAGCTCCCTCCTCCAAGCACGAGCCCCATGCCTGATGTACTGCACAAGTAACGCAATACCCTCTTTGCAGCTTCCCAGTGCACCTTACGGTGCCGACTAGGAGCCACGTAGCGAGCCAGAAGGCCAAGAGGGTATGCTAAGTCAGGACGAGTGCAAGTCATCAGGTACATGAGGCAACCAACTAGCTCTGGGTAAGGACCACTCGACTCTACGGACTCATCCGAAGGCAGAGCTGAGAGTGAGTGACCTATAGCCAGAGGAGTGGCCTGTGCTGAGGACCAGGTGAAGCCGAAGCGCTGAAGGACCTGCTGCACCATGTGTGACTGAGTCAGGGTAATGGTGCGGCGTGCTCTGTCTCGGGTGATCTGCAAGCCAAGGTAGCTGCGCAGTTCACCCAGGTCTGTGCACGTGTGTCTCTTCTGCAGCTCCGACTTCTAGTGGGCGAGAGACTCAGTGTCGGCTGTGGCAAAGACCAAGTCGTCGATGTACACGAGGATGTAGAACGGCGGCAGTGAAGAGTCGGTGCGTAGAAACAGCGACGGGTCAGCAGTAGAAGGAGAGAACCCAAGTGCCGCAAGAGTAGTCCTCAGTGTGTCGTGCCACTCACGTGGCGCCTGGCGGAGACCGTAGACTGGCCGCCGGAGGCTCCACTGGGTACAAGGAGGAAACGACCCAGTCAAGCCAAGAGGGCGGCGCAGCCAGATCTCCTCGTGCAGACTGCCCTGCAAGAAAGCTGTGCTGAATTCAAGAGAGTGAAGCTCGTAGTCGCGCTGAGCAGCAACGTGCAGTAGTACCCGAAGAGTGGTCATCTTCGGGGTGGGGAAGAAGGTCTGAAAGAAGTCTACTCCCTCTCGCTGACTGAAGCCTCGAGCAACGTAACGAGCCTTGAAGACAGGCGGAGAACCAGGCGGCCGCTTCACCCTGAAAATCCACATGCCATTGACGATGTTCGCCCCAGGTGGGGGAACCTCATCGACGTAGGTGCCTGTGGACTTCCAGAAAGCCATCTGTACGTCCATGGTTGACTGCCACTGTGAGGAGTAGGGACCCTCGATCGCCTCAGCGTACGATCGAGGAGTCGGGATGTCTGGTGCATCCGGGTCTCCCTCATGGGCAACTAGCATGGACACGAGATGGGGCGCAGCGGCTGCAAGACACTCAAGATCCTCCTGTCTGTCCTCAAGGACGTCCGTGCTAAGAGCACACTCACCCCCGACGGACGGAGGACAGACAGACTCAGACTCAGCGACAAGACTGGCAGCGTAGTCTAGGCGACAGCGAGCAGCAAAGTCGTCAAGCTCAGCAACTAGGGCAGACGCAGCAGCAGACTCAAACGAAGGGTCAGTGACAGCAGTGGCCAGGAGACGCATGACAGTAGGACTGGCAGCACGAAGAGAGTCAGACTCCGGGTCAGCAAGAGCAGGAAGAGAGGACTCAGGAGGAGACGGCAGAGGGACACGCTGTGGAGCAGTGGAGGGACGCAGTGACATCCGGTGTGTGCCAGCGACTGGTGGCGGACGCTCACGTGGAGTACGGCGACTGGTGGAAGTAGTAAAAACAGGTGACTCAGGACGGGACACAGGCGACACAGGACGAGACTCAGGCTGACGACGCTCTGTGAGACTGCCTGTAGGACCAGTGTAGGGAGAAGGACGAGGAAGTGGCGAGGCAGGCGGTAGCTGTGAGTGCGATTGGACCGGCGGTGGACACTCTACAGAGGGAGGGGGACCAGGCGGAGGCGACTGACCAAGAACCTGCTGAAGGAGTGGAACGAAGTACGGCCGCGGTCGTGAGGTGCCCCCTGCAGCAGCAGAGACAGCACCAGAACCTCCAGCCGCTCCTCCAGCACCTCCAGGACCAGCTGCTCCAGCAGCTCCAACGCCCGGGTCCGCAGCACCAGCAGCAGCCCCAACTCCAGGGTCCACAACTGGTCCAGCAACTCCAACGCCAGGGTCCGCAGCACCAGTAGCAGCTCCAACGCCAGGGTCCGCAGCACCTGCAGCAGCTCCAACGCCAAGGTCCGCAGCACCAGCAGCAGTACCAACTCCAGGGTCCGCAGCACCAGCAGCAGCTCCACCGCCTGGGTCTGCAGCACCAGCAGCAGCTCCAACTCCCGGGTCCGCAGCACCTGCAGCAGCTCCAACGCCAGGGTCCGCAGCACCAGCAGCAGTACCAACTCCAGGGTCCGCAGCACCAGCAGCAGCTCCACCGCCCGGGTCTGCAGCACCAGCAGCAGCTCCAACTCCCAGGTCCGCAGCACCAGTAGCAGCTCCAACGCCCGGGTCCGCAGCACCAGCAGCAGCTCCAACTCCAGGGTCCGCAGCACTAGGAGCGCCACTCCTGAGACTGCAGCGCCGTGCGTACCACTCACGGAGTCGCTGGGGAGAGGGCAGCTCCCGCCTAGGAGAGGAAGCACGAGCACCAGCTCTAGTAGCACTCCTAGCTACAGAAGCACCTCTCCTGAGGCTGCAGTACTGTAAGTACCACTCACGCAGCTGCTGTGAGGAGAGAGCTCCTCCAGGTGTAGCACTCCCAGGCTCAGTACCCCCAGACTCAGCACCCCCAGACTAAGCGCCAGCAGGCTCCGTACCTCCAGACTCCGCACCCCTAGGCTCAACACCCCCAGACTCCGCAACCCTAGGCTCCGCACGCTCAGGCTCAGCACCCCGAGCAGGACGAGAGTCGACAGCTACCTCGACACGCTCAACCGGGTCTACCTGGGACACACCTGAGGGAGCGGCACCCTGAGGGGGGAGGGGGTCTACCACAGCAGCACCTGGCGCGAGGAAGAGAGGCGGGGGAGGGAGCGGGGCAGTGCGGTAGGGGAAGAGGCGGTAGAAGGGTACCGACTCGTCAAAGGTGACGTCCTGAGAGGCGAGGACACGGCGCGAGGTGGGGTGGTTAAACTGCCAACCAGACGCGTCCGGAACAAAGCCTAGGAAGACACACGGAACAGCGCGGGAGGAGAGCTTGTCCGCGGACGTATCGCGAACAAAAGCTCGAGATCCCCAGACCCGGAAACGCGACGCATCGCCAACCTCTCCCGTCCAACGCAGTGTCGGGGAAGTCTCCGGCAAGGAGACACGGGGCCAGAGGTTGAGCTGATGCGCAGCGTATCGGACCGCAAACGGCCACAGAAAGTGGGGGGCAGCCGCATGGATCAAGGAGGTACGAGCGACCTCCATGACCAAGCCAATGCGGCGCTCAGCAACCCCATTCTGCTGTAGAGAGGCCGGAAGCGTGAACGACTGGCGGATGCCGTGCTCCGCACAGTAGGCTGCCAAGAGGTTGGAGGAGAACTCACCACCTCTGTCAGAGTGCAAGCGGAGGACAGGAAAGTCCGAGTGGAAACGCTCGCTGAGCTGGAGACGAGAAGCGCGGATCCAAGGGATCAAAACATCAGGGACCTCACCCTTGGTGCGCAAGGGGAAGACCGTGGTGTAGCGCGAGTAGTCGTCAACAACTGTCAGGAAGTACCTCTCCTGACCCTGACCACGGACGCGGGCGGGGCCCCACATGTCCATGTGGAGCGTTTGCAAGGGAGCAGTCGTCGGGGGAAACGAGGAGGACTGAGGAGCAGCGTGCTGCCGCCCCTCGACACAGGGAAGGCAGGAAGGAGCAGGCGAGGGTGGGAGGGGAGGGAGAAGTCTGGGAAGACCAGAGACAAGGTACCGTTTGTGCATTGCCCGAAGGCGCTGCACGGACGGGTGACCAAGTCGGTGGTGCCAGAGGACGATCTCGTGCGCCAGAGAGCGGCACGAGCAGGGGGCCGACAGCTGACCTGACGCAGACGCAGACGCAGCTACCTGAGGGGACTTAGTAGTCAGTGTGTACAGGTCCGACCCCGGCTGCCGTGTGAAGGTCGCCAGGTGACGGCCCGTCCGAGCACACGTGCAGTGTGTCACGCGCTCGTAGGCAGGGGTGAACTGGTGGACACCCCTGTCCTGGAGCGCACTACCCGCCACCAAGTTCGTAGAAAACGAGGGGAGGTAGAGACGGGACAGTGTGCCCGATGGGACGGCCGGACAGGGGAGGACAGTGGAGGAGGTCGCAAGGACTGGACCCCCAGAGGGGTCAGCGAGAGAGACTGCAACGGGCCGAGCAAGCTGCTCAAGAGCCGTGCGGTCACGAAAGAAACAGCGGGAGGCACCTGAGTCTAGTGTAAAGGTGTGCAGTGCCTCAGTCGACTCAGTACCAGGGGGGGCAGACGCACTAGCACCTAGAGCAGCAGCCTCACCAGCACCTGGGGTAGCAGACACTCTAGCACCTAGAGCGGCGGCCTCACCGGTTCGAATGCCCGGGTCGGGCGGAACACGCAGGTACTGAGCACCCTCTCCACTAATAGACATCACATACATGGCAGTGAGAATAGCATCAAAGTCTAGAGCAAAGATATCAATGTTTTGCTTCATCAGATCAGCCCAGCGGGGCAGCTCAGTGGCATCAGGGAACTGAGTACGCCAAGCGTCGTCGAGGCGTGAGAAGCAGCGCTGCGTGGGGTGCGCCCTCTCACACGTCTGACCAGTGCGGTCACCAGTGCGGATGACGTACGTGCAGCTAAGGCCACCCCCTCCCCCCCCCCCCCCCCCTCCCGTGTTGAGCGTACCACTTACAAAGCTCCTGGGGCGACGGAGTGTGCTGCAGGCTCTGGCCACCGCCAGTGCCTCCACGACCACCACCGCCGCCGCCACCTCCTCGACCACCCCCTCCCCTGCCGCCGCCGCGTCCACCGCCGCCCCCACCACCGCCCCCGCCCCTGCCACCTCCCCCGCCGCTGCCGCCACCACCCCCACCGCTGCCACTGGTCCCCCCAGCCCCACCACCACCCCCACCGCCGCCACCACCCCCACCACCGCCTCCCCCGTCGTCACCTCCGCCTCCCTTGCCCCCTTTGCCCTTGCCGCTGCGGCGCCCGCTCGAAGCCGACGCAGTCCCGACCTTCTCAATACCAAGGAGGTCGACAGCAGAAGCAGAGGCTACAGAGTGAAGAAGGGGGGAAGGGGAACACCCCTCAAAGAAAGGGGTGCGGGGGTCGCCACGAGAGGCACCTACAGCGACTATGCTAGCCTCAGCTGCAAGCAGTTCCTTCTCGAGGAGGGAAATGGTGAGCTCAGTGGGGCAGCGAGCTAGGAAGTGATCCCTGACAGCACGTAGAGTGTCAGGGAGGCGTGTGACTAGGTGGTAGAGAGTGAGCCAGAGCGGGGGAGGGTTCTTGGCAAGAAACTCATCGGGCATGGCGGCACGGAAGCGGGCCTCACTAGTACGGAGGTGCGTGATGAGGTCAGCGACTGTGTGGAACGAGGCCAGGTCGGGAAACAGGTAGGGGAGTGAGAGACGGCCTAGCGCGGCAGAGGCAGGTGAGGAGTAGCGGGCAACGACAGCGGTGTACAGTGCCTGTGCAGTCTTGTGCTGGCCAAAGTGCTCGCGCTCATCTATCGGCAGGGAGTTGCGAATAGCGAAGCGAGCATGGGCGTCACGAGTCTGCCACTGTGAGCGGGCAGTGCTGTCAGCAGTAGCAGTAGCATGGCCTAGAGCGTGATCGTACAGTGAGATGTCCTCCTTGGCAGTGAGCTGTAGGAAGAGGTGTAGGTCATCTAGCCAGGTTTCGAACTTCACTTGGCGGCCCTCAGCATCGAAAGCTAGCACAGGAGGGCTAGCCATAGAAGTAGTAGGAGTAGCAGTAGAGTAGCAGTAGTAGCAGTAGGAGCACCCTAAACACAGTAGGCAGTGCGACTCAGGTAGGGCGGCTCGGTCCAGTACGGGCGGCGCGGCCCGGTTCAGGTAGGGCGGCGCGGCTCGGGTAGGGCGGCGCGGCTAGGTTCGGGCGCCGCGGCTCGGTTCGAGCTGGGCGGCTCGGTTCGGGCGGCTCGGTTCGGGCTGGGCGGCTCGGTTCGGGCTGCTCGGTTCGGGCGGCTCATTCTGGCGGGGCCGTGGGTGTCGCGTGCAGGGTGCTAAGGGGCGGCGCGTGGGGTCGAGGGGGCCGACGGGGCCGCTAAGAGGTGGGCGCGCGTGGGGCATACGGGGCCGACGGGGCCTCTAAGCGGGTCGCGCGTGGGGTCGACGGGGCCAGCGGGGCCTCTAAGGGGCGGCGCGCGGGGTCAACGGGGCCAGTGGGGCCTCTAAGGGGCGGTGCGCAGGGCCGACGGGGCCTCTAAGGGGCGGCGCGCGGGTCGCTAAGGGGCGGGTCGCGGGTCGTAGAGCCTTAAGGGGCCGTTAAGGAGGGGGCGCACGAGGGCGCTAGTAGGTAGCGAGGAAACGGAACGGTGGGCCCTTAGAACGTTCGGTCCTAGGTTCCTAACCTAGGCTCGTAATACCATGTTAGAATGAGAGAAGTGTGTGAACTAGAAAGGAATGGGAGTACAAGTACCTAACCCTACAATGATATACCCCCTAAAGGCTAACCCACTGTAGCCTACACAAATATAACACATATATTGTTTGACAGAGGTCCGACAGCCGCGCATCCCAGCCTGAGCTAGCATCTGCTTCTGGTGATTGATGGCCAACTGGTGCTTGTTCGTCGCGGCATGCCGCTTGAAGGCTTGGGTCTGAAGATCGGTTGCACCGTGCCCACTCTTGCCACACTTGCCACCGTCACCTGCAAAGTCGATGCACAATCTGCACTTGAACGCAGGCATGCCAGCAGTGTTTTTTATGAGGATGAGCCATGGGTAGTCGGTTGACCACGTCGACTTGAACGTTTCAAGGGCCTCTTCGTAAATCAGAGTGGTTAGTGACGGTTTTTTAGAGTTAGATGGCGTGGGCGTAACGTGGTTTACCGACTCGCCGGCATCAGCGAGAGGACGTCCAGGATCTGTAGGATCGGCCCAACGGAGCACGGCCTGCTTGTAACGAGGCGGAGGCTTCGACGACGACGCACGAGATGGCAAGCGGACGCTCGGTCCGGCTGCTGACGGCACGGCCGGCTTAGCAGTATGCGCGGGCTGGGGACGATCGTCTCCGCGGCAGAGGCCAGACGCTTCACCAGTGTTTGCTACTGAGGCGACGGGGCCTGGATTCTCTTTTTCATGGGAGAGCGCGGAAACTATAAAATCTAGTCCCGTTCTGGCCTCCAGCATCTCGGTGGCGGCGTAAAGTGCATCGTCGTCATCATCACCGCAGCTGTTCTCACCGGTGATCGCCATGGCGCGTTCACGTCACCTTCCTGAATCGGTGAGTAGTAACAAGAAACCCTGGGAGAGAGAGAGCCTGCCGAGCAGGCTTCAGGGAGACTGCTGAGATTGATGTTTCGGAAAGGGATGGAGTCTGGAGAGCTGGAATGGCAGAATCACGAGACCCCCTGCGTGGGGTGCCTGAGCGGGCCGCCCCAGCACGCCCTGCCTTGGTGGAAAGAACAAGGTAGACCACCGGCCCACTGGGCCACTAGGCTTGGTTGTTTGTACACATCAATGGAAAGTAATGACAAGTGTAGGTTATCCAACGTGACAACGGTACATTGCTTCAGCTAGGAAAGCCAATCTCTTTACGCTGTTTTGCCAACACAGCCCGAAATTAACCTGTTCAACTGTATCTGGGCGCGCCGCAGGGTGGCGTCGGTGCAGGGTGGGTTCATGCATGATGACGGCGCGCAAAACTGCGAGAATCACGGAGTTTTCGGTTTCAGGGTCGTCTCAGATACAACACTGACTCGTCAGTGTCGACAAACTAGAAACACTGGAAAATCAGGATTAGGAAAAGAAAAACACTGATTCATCAGGGTTGTAAAAACAAAAAGGCTGATTCATCAGGGTTACAATAAAAAACCGGGGTCAAACATCAGGAAATCAGGGTAAAATTCCTGGAATCTGAGGCCCTGATGGCAGCATATGCTGTACATACGCGTCACAATCGATTCGGACACTTTCTTTGAGAAAGTGTCCGCAGCGGAATGTACCCTCATAACAAATTCCTTCATGTACCGTAGCATTCACATCACATTACAATGCGTACACCGCAGTCACATCAAGGAACAACCAAGTGTAACAAGTACCGGTAAATAAGTGCCCGTTCCAGCAGTGGCTTTCAGTGTGCCTTTCAGGGTGTCCCAGCCCAACACAGGGGAACATTCTAGTGAGAGTGTCTGAATACTGCTGAATCATTCAACCGCCACTGCTCATCATCAGCAGCAGGACCACCGAGTACCATCTGGTGGTTACCACACTCCCTTGATGTTTGCCTCCCTCCTCGCTCATCCTCATCCCCTCTCCCCCTCCTCTCGCTCTCACTGTTGCCCCCATCCCATCCCCACCACCACCCCTCCCACCCCTTCCGCCACCACTGCCACCACCACTACTGCCACTGTCTGCCCTGTGCTGTGCTCCCGCTGCGTTTTGTGCCCATCTCCCTCATTTTCACTTCCATCCGCCCTTCCACCACCACCCCTCTCCCCCTGTCCACCAACTCTGCCGATTCTCATATCTGGACCCATAACAACCGCTCAAAATCCCTGTATGTCACTCTGAACAGCTTTGAATCACGTGGAATCGGTCTGAACCGCTTGGAAACGTTTCAAATCACTCGGAATCGCTCTCAATAATCCCACGCCTGTGGCCTCTTCCTCCCCCTCCCCCTCCCCCTCCCTCTCTCTCCTCATCACTCTCAAACCGCGCCCCTCCTTGCCTCCCTCCTCGCTCATCCTCCTCCCCTCTTCCCCTCATGTCGCTCTCACTCTCACTGTTACCCCCATCCCCACCACCACCCCTTCCACCCCTTCCACCCCTTCCGCCACCACTGCCACCACCACTACTGCCACTGTCTTCCCTGTGCTCCTGCTGCCTCCTCCGCCCGTCTCCCTCATCAACATCACTCCCATCCGCTCTCCCACCACCACCCCTCTCCCCCCTTCCCCCTCTCTCTCCCCTCTCCTCTCTCTCCCCACTCCCATACCTCCGCCTCTTCTCCCTCCTCTCCTCCTCATCTTCCTCCTCCTCCTCGTCTCTTCCCCTTCTCGCCCCCCTCCCTCTCCTTCCCTCGTGCTCCTCCTCCCCCTCATCATCCTCCTCACGTCTCCGCCTCTCCCTTCCCCCATCCTCCTCCTCTGCGTCTTCCCCTGATCGGTTCCGTACTGTGATCTGGTGGAAGGGAGGGAGCAGCAAGTGTGCAGAGAAGGGAACATACGTGCAAGACACTTAAGAGAATTCTCAAAAAGCATCTCTCGTCATCCTCCTCTGCGTCTTCCCCTGATCGGTTCCGTACTGTGATCTGATGGAAGGGAGGGAGCAGCAAGTGTGCAGAGAAGGGAACATACGTGCAAGACACTTAAGAGAATTCTCAAAAGCAATCTCTCATCCTCCTCCTCTGCGTCTTCCCCTGATCGGTTTCGCACTATCTGATGGAAGGGTGGGAGCAGCAAGTGTGCAAAAAAGGGGGGCACTGGTATATACCCAGATGCTTATAATTTTTGTGCCAGAATCCATCAGAATGTGCCTACCTCGCAAACGCTCTCCTGCACAAACCTGTTACTGATGCATAAAAAAAAAAAAAAAAAAAAAAAAACTCAGTCTGGCCAGCAAGCACAGCATTTGGGCAAGAAGCACAACATATGGGCGGCAAGCACAATGAAATACCTTGGAGGGAACGGGCAACTCCACTCTCTCTCCCTCCTCGCCCTTCGCCTTGCCTCCCTCCTTGGCCTTTCTCTTTGCCACTGTGAGCTTCGTGTTGATTGGCTGGGGGAACATGAGGGGACAGGAGCATGATGAGAGGGTGCAGAGAAAGAAACGAGATCAGTGGAAAGAAAACATGATTCTTTCTGCAATAAGCATCAACATGCATCTTATCTTTGCATTGTAGGCACATCCATGCACAATGGAAGGTTTGACCCAGGAGTTGACTCGCAATAAAGGTTTTGACCCAGGAGTTGACTCACAATACAGGGTTTGACCCAGGAGTTGACTCACAATACAAAGTTTGACCCAGGAGTTGACTCACGAGGTAATTCACACTGTCCTTGTTGAAACAGAAGAGGAAGGTTCCTCGACCTTGCTCCCCCTTGGCCACCTGAGTGAGAGAGAGTGAGAACCAGGTGGAGCGTAACAGTGAAGGGGTGGAGACGGGTTGGGTTGGGTTGAGGGGAAAAAAGTTCCTCGCCCTGGGTCCCCTTTAGCCACCTGGGAGAACAAGAGTGAGAAAAACGTGAAGAGTAAGTGGAGGTCTGGGGTCCAGACGGGTTGAAGGGGCGGAGCAAAATGCGGAAAGAATACCGCAAGCGGAAAAATACTAGCCTTCAGTTTACACTGAGTGAGGCTGAAGCAGAAAAACGAGTCAAAACGCAAGCACGCACTCACTTCACCTAATCTCTAAAAGAGATAATTGCATGTATGATCCATACCTTCCAGTGGTATTCTCGCACCCAGTCATACCGAGCACTCTCCCCTTCCCTCAGCTTCCTCCCCAGCTGCATTCAGAGGCGACGGATGGGGAAGAAAGGCGGGAATATTTAAAAAGAAGCACGTGCAGGTTAGCAAAGTTACAATACAACAACTGTACGGAATACACTGAACGCACGTCGCACGATGGGCCTAAACCATCGCAGGATTCGTTCCACTTCACGTGAAAAAAGGAGTGGTTTGAGACGTCTCAAAATGCTCCTTTTTTCACGTTCGTTCCACTTCACTGGTGCACCTGTTGAGATGACTTTTGAGTCGACTCAAAAGTTCCACTTCACTGGTGCACCTGTTGAGATGACTTTTGAGTCGACTCAAAAGTTCCACTTCACTGGTGCACCTGTTGAGATGACTTTTGAGTCGACTCAAAAGTTCCACTTCACTGGTGCACCTGTTGAGATGACTTTTGAGTCGACTCAAAAGTTCCACTTCACTGGTGCACCTGTTGAGATGACTTTTGAGTCGACTCAAAAGTTCCACTTCACTGGTGCACCTGTTGAGACCCTAGGACCTAAACCATGTGGGACAACCATGTGGGACATGAACGACTGTCTCTCTGCTCTCCCCCCCTCTTTTGCAGGAGCCTCAACTGTTAGGACCACGACAACCTCAGTCAAACTCAGTCAACCTCAGTTAACTTCTGTCAAACTCAGTCAACCTCAGTCAACCTCTGTCAAGCTCAGTCAACCTCAGTCAACTCACCTCACGCTTGTTGGGCACCATGTAGGCCACAAACGACTGTGGCTCCCCTCCCCCTCCACGGTGAGAGTGTGGCTCACCTCACTCAACCTCACTCAATCTCTCACCTCGCGCTTGTTGGGAACCATGTAGGCCACAAACGACTGTGGCTCCCCTCCCCCCGGTGCTGCCACCTTGAAATTCTTCATGATCGCCTGGAGATGGGGGGAGAGGGAGGAAAAGGCTCCGGAGGGAGGCAGGGAGGGAGGCAAGGCGAGGGACAAAGGCAGGGGAGAATGCACAGAGGAAGGCCAGGGAGGAAGGGATGGAGGAAATGAAATGGATGGGCGCATGTGTGATGGTGCGTGTACGAGACAAAGCAGAACTCCCCTCCCTCTCGAAGAGTCACTCGCCCAGGCCTCCATCTCTTTCTTCTCCACCCCCTCCCATTCCCTCCCATCCCATTTCATTCCACCTTGCACCAAATTCCCTGGAGAAAACCCCATTCCACCCCAAGACTGCAGACTCACCCGCGCCTCCATTTCTTTCTTCTGCTCCTCCTTCAAGTGCATGTGTGCAGGCGAATCCGCAAGAGGCGTGTCGTCAAACACGAGGTGCACAAACTGGCGGCCCGCCAGGGAGAACAGCGGCAGCACCGGCAACACCTCCACTGCCTCCAGGCTCGGGTTTGACGGGTGCACGGGCGGCTTCCGGGCAGCCTGAAAAGATTCCTCGATGTACCGGATCTGCCCCTCCCTGCGAGGGGTGGGAAAAAGTGTAGGGAGGAGAGAGTGTTTGCAAGCATTGCAGGCAAGAAATCAATTTGAGTCAGGTTGAGTCGAGTGGAAAGGCAGGTGAAGGAAAAAGGGGAATGAATACGTGGACTTGTTCATGCCCTATGTATATTTCATAAAACAATAACTTCTTTTCCATAAACATATGTAAACATGCATACAAATACATGTACACTCACCTTGTACTGTACATCTGCTCATCTGCCAACTCCAGCTGCAGCGCCAGCAGCTTCGCCTCCTTCTCATTAAGCACCCTCTGTACAGGCACACACACGAGTGAGAAGGGTGGGGACAAAAACAGCAAGCGGAGTGACAAATCGGGGCAATGGGAGCAGTGAAAAGAGTCAAGGTCAGCCCAGCACAGGCGATGGGAAAGAGTCAAGCTCACCCTCTGTACAGGCACACACGAGTGAGAGGAGTGAGAAATCGGGGGAATGGGAGCAGGGGAAAGAGTCAAGGTCAGCCCAGCACAGGCGATGGGAAAAAGTCAAGCTCAGCCCAGCACAGGCGATGGGAAAGAGTCAAGCTCAGCCCAGCACAGGCATCCCAGCCTGGTTCACACCAGTTCAATTCAGAATCCACAGACCAGCCATGGACTCACCTTCTTAGGCGCACTGCCAGAGCCAGCAGCGGAGATGTACTGAGTGTGCACCAGCCAGCTCAGCCCAGCTCAGCTCAGCTCAACCCAGCTCAGCCCAGCTCAGCCCAGCGCAACCCCCCAGTGGATTAGGTGTCCTTGCCTCAAATCGCATGCCCAGCCCAACAGGAACACGCCCACCTTCTTAGGAGCACTGCCAGAGCCTGCAGCGGAGATGTACTGAGTGTGCACGAGCCAGCTCAGCACAGCTCAGCCCAGCTCAGCCCAGCTCAGCCCAGCGTCTGTAGGCCTCTCCTTCACTCTCAGCGCGCCCGTCCCACCCGCCCCCCCTGCTGCCGCCCCCCTGGCCTCCCTCCCTCCCCAAACCAACACTCACCTTCTTGGGAGCACTGCCAGAGCCTGCAGCGGAGATGTACTGAGAGTGAACGAGCCAGCTCAGCCCAGCTCAACCCAACACAGGTCAGTTCACATCACACCATTCAACCCAGCAGCACCTGCCTGCCATGCCATGGACTCACCTTCTTGGGAGCACTGCCAGAGCCAGCAGCGGAGATGTACTGAGTGTGCACGAGCCAGCTCAGCCCAGCATCAGTAGGTCTCTCCTTCACTCGCAACGCACCCGCCCCCCCTGCTGCTGCCCCCGCGCCCTCCCTGTGCTTCACACTCGCATCATCGTCCCTCAGGAGTTCCGCGTCTGCCGGGTGGAGTGGTGGGCGCTGAGAGGGGGGCGGGGCGCTGGGGTGAGGGAAGAGAGGGGACGGGAAGGGGGCACAGGGGGAAGAAGGGCACAGGGGGGGAAGGATGAGGGAAAAAATGCGCCTCAAAAGGGCGCTGAGAGAGGGGCGGGGCGCTGGGGTGAGGGACGAGAGGGGACGGCATTGGCCTCTGTGAAAGAGGCACTTCGACAGGGTATAATCCCCTGTCCTAAAAAAAAAAAAAAAAAGAGGCATAGGGGAAGGGGCAGGATGAGGGCACAGGGAAGGGCATTGGTTTGGTTGTAAAGGGGGAAGCAGAACAGAAGAATCTGGCGTGGCGGTGTGAGGAGGAAATGTGACAGCAACGGCTCACCAGTAAGCGGATAGGTCGAAAAGGTCAGGGGGATATCCAGGTCTGGCTGCACGTGCAGGCAGTGGGGGTGATCCGCCTCAAGAGTCGACACGTGGTAGGCGGAGTACCGGTGGGGAGTGCACACGTGTGAATGGAAATAACTAACCAGTAGGTGGATAAGTCGAGCAGGTCAAGCAGAATCCCAAGGTCCGGCTCCACATGCAATCGGTGCCGGTGATCCGCCTCTAGAGTCGACACGTGGTAGGCGGAGTATCGGTGTGGGTCCATACCATACATGTGTGTGCTTCTACACCCACGCGTGACTGTGCCTACTCCTTACCAGTAGGCGGATAGGTCGAGCAGGTCCAATGGGATCCCTAAATCCGGCTCCACGTGCAGGCGATGCCGGTGGTCCGCCTCTAGAGTCGACACGTGGTAGGCCGAGTAGCGGTGTGGGTCCCCCCCCAGAGGCAGCAGCTTCGGCTGTGATGCTGGCTCGGGCAGGGTATTAGTGAACCTGAGGAAGGGGAGGAGGAGGGGGGTGAGTTGGGGAAGGTAGTGGGGGAGATAGAGAGTGTGAGGCGGAGTATCGGTGGGGGTCCCCCCCGAGAGGCAGCGGCTTCGGCTGTGAGTGATGCTGGCTCTGGTAGGCTGTTGGTGAACCTGCGAAGAGGGTAAACCATGGGGAAAGAGTGGGGGAGCGTGGGGGAGTGGGGGAGCGTGGGAGAGCGGTTGAGTATGAAAAGAGTGGGTGAATGTTGGGAAGTGTTGGGAAGAATTGGGAAGTGTGGGGGAAGGTGGGGAAATGTGCTAAAAGGAGGAACAGTGGGGTATGAGGGGGGATATTGGAGAAGCCCTTTAATAAACCCCTGGCCCTCACAACCCTCTCCACCACATCCCACCGCACTCCCCTCCCTCGCACCTCACTCTACACAGGAACGTCGACGGCCGTTTCAACCGGTTCTCGTCCTTAGCCCCCCCTGCTGCTGCGCCTGCTGCGCCGCTTCCCCCAACAGCTGCTCCCGCGGACGCGTCCCTACCCCGCGCGGGGACCAGCGCCCCGCTTCCCCCAACCCCCCCGCCCGCGTGGCTGCTCTTCTCCCCCTGCTGCTGCTGGTGCTGCTGCTGCTGCTGGTGATGCTGCTGTTGGTGTTGGTGCTGTTGCAGCTGGTGCTGCTGACTGTGCGGCTGTGATCCTGGTTGTGACGGCTTCTGCTGGTGATGCTGTGACTGTTGCGAGTGGTGACTATGCTGGTGCCTGTCTCTCCGCCCGCCGTCTCCACCATCCCCGCCAGCTCCGCGCTTGTCTCTCCGCCCATCCCCCCCTGCATGCCGGCCCTTCTCCGCCGACGGAGGATGCGGGCCGGAAGGGGGTGGCGGAAGTGCGAGAGTCCCCGAGCCGGATGGGGGAGGCGGGGGAGGCGGAAGCGCGGAATGCGCGGGTGGGAAGGGCGGGGGAGGGGGCAACGGGGGATCGGACGTGGGGGGAGGCGGGGGAGGAGGTGCTGGTTGGTGGGAGCCGGAGGGGGGAGGGGGGAACGGCGGAGGAGGGGGAAGCGGAAGTTCTCCGCTGGTGGGCGGAGGAGGCGGAGGCGGAAGGGGAAGCGACTGATTAGGAGCGTAAGCAGAATTAAGAGCAGAATAGGACGATGCATTATGTGCGTTGGCGGCTCCGTATGGGTTGCCTGAATACGGCCCGGATGCTGGAAGCATGCCAGGTGGGGGACCAGGCGGAGGTCCAGGTGGCATTCCTGGATTGGTTAGATGCTGGGTATGCGCTCCAGAGCTCATACTGACACCGCTACCAGTAGTATCCCTTATAAGCTGACGCAACTTCGAGTGGTACGACAGCTAATAGTAGGAAACGAGATGTATTGGTCCAGATTGATAGTCTCCTCGAACTCCTCGATACTAACTACGAAACCACGGCAACTGGCCACGAGGGAAACTTTTGAGTCGACTCAAGAGTGCACGTGGCATTATCCTGAGCTATTTGTACCCCGAGTCTCGTGGCGACTGGATTGATCCTAATTCGTGAGCGTGGATTATAACGAGGACAAAGCAATCTCCTTGTATTTGGACTGCGCCGACCGAAACGTACCCGCCTCTAAGATTTAAGATCGCTAAAGGTAAGTTCGTCTGGGCAAGCTGAATCAACGCGCAAGAAATCTAGGTCTACATGCTAGCATGCGGTCTGCTTTACAGAGTCACTGAAGTTGCGCTTTATGCTTTCTATCCAGTCAATAACGGTTGAGTGCATTGCTGTGCACAATCAGGCTTCGCTTTAATTTGACCGCTTTGAACTGCTGTGCACCTGTGAACAAACTAATGACAGTTTCTCCTAAACAAAATCAAGATCAGGTCTTAGGAACACCGAGGCGGGACTCAATACAGAGAAAAACAGAAGTGAATGTTTGCATATATACATATATTGGACATATCAAGTAGGTATCCGTCCACTCCTGCTGCTGGTGCGGTAAGAGAAGCTTAAGTGCACTTCAGAATGTTTACAAGATATGTTAGAAACCAAACAAGCAAAATCATAGCAATTCTTTCGCCCTCATAAGCTCAAACGGGAGCTACCGCCATGCTACTCCACAAACCCAACACCTTAGAAACACTTTTCCCCTTCTGCGAACCATTATCCTGACCAGCAGCACCCGCATTGGCAGCAGCAGCAGCAGTGGCGACAGCCTTTAACCTTGCCTGTTCCGCAATATTCCTCGCTTCAATGTTTGTTGCCTCCACACACAGGTCATGGAAGAGACCTCGCATTTGGGCTGTTATGATGTACCCCAATATATACTGGGCTGTTAGAATGCATGAGAAAGGGGGCAGCACGGAAGGAAAATAGAAGACAAGGATGAAGCCTGGGATATACAAAGTTACAAGGACTAGAAGTTGCAAGGGAAGCAACTGAGTGTGCACTCATACACACTCCGGCAGAAGCACATGAATGCTGGGGCGCAGTGCAACAACCACATGAGGAATGGAGCGAGCATAGGTAGAAGCAATGGGGCACGCACGCACACTTGGGGGCAGGCAGGGGAGGCAGGGCACTCACTCAAAGGACCAAGCGGCAAGTTGGATGGTTCGACCCTCTGGACGATCTCGATCTCCGACCCACAATCCGACGGTCCACATTTCACCAGCTCCGAAGCACCACCTGCAGACACGCCACCCTTCCACTGAACGACCCCTCCTATTTTAGCTCCTCCTCCCATGCTCCCTACTGCTCCTCCTGTTCCTGCTCCTGCTGCTACTGGTGCTCCTACTGCTCCTGCTGCCGCAACCATGGGCACAGCACCAGCAGCTCCATCACCCATCCTTGGCCATCCACCCATAATCCCCCCTCCTACCCCCTCGCCTTCGATCCGAGGCTCGCCCACAGCCACTCGGCCGAACGCCAGCAGCTGAGCAGGGAAGCGGCCGAGGGGAATCGCCTGCTGAAGCTGTAGCAGCCGCTGCTGTAGCGGGAGGCGCGGCTGTAGCGGCTTCATCTGTAGCGCCGGATGCAAGGACTTAGGCTGAGGTGCATGGGGCTGTAGCTCTGGCTGTAGCAGAGGCTGGGGGCGGCTGATAGCGCGTGTGCCGGGAACGGTGAGAGGCAGGGAGGAGGAGGAGGATGGTGGGGCGTGAGGGAGGGAAAGGCTGCGGATGGTTGATGTGCCGACAAAATCTTTCATGAATCCAGGAGATGCCCTGAGAGCGAGAGAGAGCGAGAGAGCGAGAGAGAGAGAGAGAGAGAGAGAGAGAGAGAGAGAGAGAGAGAGAGAGAGAGAGAGAGAGAGAGAGAGAGAGAGAGAGAGCGAGAGAGAGAGAGAGAGAGAGAGAGAGAGAGAGAGAGAGAGAGAGAGAGAGAGAGAGAGAGAGAGAGAGAGCGAGAGAGAGCGAGAGAGAGCGAGAGAGAGCGAGAGAGGGCGAGAGAGGGCGAGAGAGGGCGAGAGAAAGCGAGAGAGGGCGAGAGAGAGAGCGAGAGCGAGAGCGAGAGAGAGAGAGAGAGAGAGAGAGAGAGAGAGAGAGAGAGAGAGAGAGAGAGAGAGAGAGAGAGAGAGAGAGAGAGAGAGAGAGAGAGAGAGAGAGCGAGAGAGAGAGAGAGAGAGTGAGAGAGAGAGAGAGAGAGAGAGAGAGAGAGGGCGAGAGAGAGAGAGAGAGGGCGAGAGAGGGCGAGAGAGGGCGAGAGAGGGCGAGAGAGGGCGAGAGAGGGCGAGAGAGGGCGAGAGAGAGAGAGAGAGCGAGAGAGAGAGAGAGCGAGAGAGAGAGAGCGAGAGAGAGAGAGAGAGAGAGAGAGAGAGAGAGAGAGAGAGAGAGAGAGAGAGAGAGAGAGAGAGAGAGAGAGAGAGAGAGAGAGAAAAAGAGGAAGGGAGGAAGGGAGGAAGGGAGGGGAAAGGAGACATGGAAACGGAAAGCGGAGTGAGGTTATGATCGGAGTTGTTTCTAAAAAGAAAAAGAAAAGAAAGAAAGAAAGAAAAAAAAGGTTCGATTGAAGCAAATGAGACTGGTGCAGCCGACAAATCATCTGGAACTTCCAGACGAAAGTGCGGGCCCAATTTTAAGCACATGCGGAACTCACAGTCGGTACGTGATAGTGCGCGTCGCGTCGTCGCAGTGGCAATAGAGCGCCAGGTCGAATTTCCCCGAGAACAGCTGGAACCGCCACTTGACGTTCTGCACGACGAGTAAGCTTCCGTCGGGCTGCGGCACGGAGGAGCACTTGTCCATGTGGCGGAAGATAGCGGGGCCGCGCTTGAAGTCGCGCAGGAGCCCGTAGATCACGCCTGGGGGGTGCCGGGATTTCATGCCCGCTGCTATGCGGTAGCTGTCCACTTTCCCCTCCTGGTGCGGGTGATGCAGGGGGGGGAGGCATGGGGGGAAGGCAGATGGGAAACATCTCTCTCAAAATCCTCACCTCGGGTATCAGCTCGACGCGCATTGGCTCCACCAGCCCTTGAGTTTCACGACACATTGCGGTGGTTTTGAGGGAGTTCTCAAGGCCACCCCGCAACCTCGTGTCGACGACGTCGTGTGTTAAACGTTTTGCGACAAGCAGACGCGCACTGGCTCCAGCAGTCGTGGGAAGGAGACTGAGAAATAGCAAGGGGTAAAAAGAGCTTCGCGTAGAGGGAAACATCGCTTATGGAAACAACTCTATCAAGAGCCTCGTGTCAAGCGACCCTCACCTCGGGTATCAGCTCGATGCGCATCGGCTCCAGCAGTCCCGGCGTCGCCGCAAGTTCCGCCTGCACCGCATCTTCCGCTGTCGATGGCGCCGCGCGGTTTCCGCTCGACTGCGCCCATTTGCGGCGGCTTCGGCTCGAACTTCCCGCAGACGCCGCCGCGTCGGTCGCGGATGCTTTTCCTCCTTTACCGCCTCGCCGTTCTCCTGAAGAGCCGCCGCGAATGGTGGACGCTCGCTGGGCTGAAATGCGACTTTCTCCGTGGCCGTCAGTGCCGCCGGCAGCAGTTAACTTAACTGATCTCCGCTTGCTGGCGAAATCGCGTGTGCTGACGGTTTGAAACATCGTGAATGGCTGTCGCACGCTAGGCACTTGACTTACGGTCCCTCGGCTGCCTTACAGTCCGCGTAGTCTCCTTCGCCGAATGCAGGCGGAAAGGTCGTCGCCTTCGAATGCGGCGTCGAATTCGGAATGCGGCAGTGAGATGCCTGTATCAGCGCGAGTCGCAGCTGAGCTACCGACTTGGCGCTAGGCAGAACTAGCAGATTCAGTCAGTACTGAGAATCGCAATGTGGGAAAACCCGCGGCGCGGACGGAGGGAGGCGGACTGGCGGTCGAGGTGAGGATGGCAAGTACGGAGCGTGACAGCGAAAATGACAGCAACGGGAGCTTGCTGGGATAAGAAGTGATCGCTGTGAAAGTGACAGGTGGTACAGTGGCGGGAAGGGATTGATGACGAGAAAGGAAGAACACTGGCGCAGTTTATTGGCCTCAGGATTGACGAGGTAGGGGGAGGGGAGATGAGGCGGGGCAGTTGAGTGGGAGAGGGAGGTGTATACAGCGGATGGATGGTAGGAGACAGACCAGACCCGACCGGACACCCCAAGAAAACGACGCACCGCGCGCGCTCACCGAGTTTCGCTAGCTGTCGCTAGTGCCGCCACGGGTGAATTTATCGAGGTTTTGTGTTGAGGACAGGACAACGACGAGTAACCACTTCTGCGAAGAGAAAAAGTTTTGCGGTTTCTGGTTGATAGTTCGTGAAAAAATTATACGGGCAGTCACAAATATTCCCGTTTTTTCACGTTCGGTCACAGGGATATCACAAGCAGTCACAGTGCAGTAGATTTCTATCGCGGGTGATCACAGTGCTATCGCGGATGGTCACACCTCGCCCCGAAAAGCTATCACGTTTGGTCACTCGATGAGACGATCGTAAAAAAATTGAAACCAGGAAAGAAACTGTAGAGATTCAGGGAATCCCAATTTTGATAGCTTGCTACCTCGCGCATGATTCTAGCCTGACATTTAGGGGACTGGAAAAAAATATAAACCCCTATAGGATGGCATGTTCTTCGGGAGATACTGTTAGGGACATTATACAACAAATTGCATATGTTTTTGACGAGTTACCGAAAGCTGTCGCGAAACTATTTCGTGACACTACGGACAAAACTGCGCGCGCGAGAAAACTTTCCTTGAATCCCTACAGTGACTTGAGTAGTTTCAACTTTCTATCAAGGTTTCTACGAGTGACCAAGCGTGATAGCTTTTCGGGGCGAGGAGTGACAATCCGTGATAGCACTGTGAACACCTGCGATACGAATCTACAGTACTGTGACTGTTTGTGATACCTCTGTGACCAAACGTAATAAACCGGGCTTAATTGTGACTGCCTATATAATATCCCTAGTTCGTGAGGTAGGGGGAAGCGTTCACACTTGCGGATATCATTTCTTGTCTCGTTCCGCAGCAGCCAACCACAAAGCCCTCGTGGCGTGGATGCGCGTGGTTGGGGGAAGGGGCTCCGAAAGCCCTGCAACCCTACATTCTCTCTTTTGCGGTGCGTCTGTGGCGTGCTACAATTGGTTGTGAACTCATTTTAGACTTGTAGCCACAAATACCAACCATAAACGGTGGGGCTGGAATCGCGGCTGGGGTTGTGTGGTCGTGCACGATGTAGGGCGGATGGCGTAGGTCGGCCATACTCCTTTATACTGTTCTAGCTAGGGTTGACGCTAGCTATGACCCTTCTCGGATCTTGCTCGACGCACTCATTATGTGCCTCTCCGTCAAAGAAATAGCTCTTGTACCTCACGTTGAATCGAGTGTTTTTGTGATAACCGTAAGGCCTTATTATACCAGCCCATGCCACTTCGTGAACCAGAAAATGTAGTGCAGCTTTGCTTCTCCAAATCCATGACCCCGCCAGCACAGCTACATCAGACGTCCACATGTATTCTAGCCCAAATGTCATCAGACTGGCAGACATCCTAGTCAGCGTGACCTCTACCTGAAGTGTCAACACGACTCATTGCATGTCACCTCGGCAAAAGCTATGCTTGGTGGTGTAGGGGAAAGCCCAAACCAGGTCAGCACAAGACATCACGTCACCTACACGAAAGCGGAGCTGCTTGCTGCTGCTGCAGCTGCTGCTGCTGTGGTGGAACCCTGAAACCGTGCATTCCCTAGGCAGACCGCAGCGCGTTCGAGTCATGGGCTGAAGCCTAGACAACACCATTTTCAACATGCCATGCTTCGGCCATGGCATGTGGAGGGTTCACAGGAATGCCCGAATAACAAGAAAACGGCATGTGAATAGAATTCGATCCCAGCCGTTCACTTTACGATCTCTCGTGACATCATGATGCGACGCGCTTGTCAAAGCTTGATCACACCGTGACGCCATCCGCCGTGGCAGCAACATGAGCGCGACAGCGCATTTCCCCGCAGCGGCGCGGAGTGCCACGCAGTGTCGCAAATTAGCGGGGAGTGACGGTGTTTGCTAAGAGGAAGTTTCACTTCGTTGGGCAAATGGTATCGGTTGGTATCGGTAGTTCTACGGAGCAGCGTACATAACCCGAGTGAGCAAACGCGAGGGAGGGAACGAGCAGCTGGAGGCTGGAGCACGGGAGATGGCTTCACAAGGCGACCCAGTCAGTTCGAGAGGATATAAGAGAGGAAGAAGGGGATAGACGAGAAACAGTTGAAACAGTCGGAGAACTCTCATCCATACAAGCAAGGTCTTTTGCGTGATTTTCGTCACATATTCTTAATCTGCGACGGTTCTACTATTACTAGGCTCTTGAGATACGCGGATACAAGAACCAAGGACAGTCCTAGAGCAGGCCTCTGAATATTCTGCCATATTTCAACCTTTCACCTCAGTCTTTTTAGCCTACTACTCGTAGCGAGAGACATAACATAAGTATCTCAATATTCTGGTGGTAACCACATGGCGTCTGCACACCACAGCTTTCGCAGCCTTTCGCTAGACTCGGGGTCGAAGCCCCCTGCCTTGCAGCAGGAGGCGAGTCGCGCCTTAGGTCTCTACGACGACCCTGGCGAGCTCCTTAATCCGCTGGACCAGGGCGCGTTCTTCAGCGCCGTGGCTGCTGGTAACGTGGACGGCGTCGCAGCGCTTCTGAAGCATAGGAAGGTTGACATTAACGAGTACAACGGACAGGTGCGCGGAAGGGAGGGAGGGAGGTAGGGAGGGAGAGGAGAAAGAAAGGGGGACGAGTGAGGGAGAAAATGGGTGAGTGTGCCTGCGCTTTTGCAACATATCGTCGACATTAAAAAGTACCAAAAATATCCGCAGTGCTGCTGCTGCTGCGTCTACCGCGCTATGTAAGTTCATAATAAAACCATTGTGCTTCTACAACTCCTCCGTCCATTCTGTTTGTGCCCGTTGCCTCTCGTTCCCGTGTACAACTTTGAATTCTCCCGAACTGTGGCGCCATAGACCATGGCGCGAAGGTCACCGTGCGAGCAGTTAGAACTCACTTTCCCCCTTCCTCTCCTTCATACAACCCCCCCCCCCCCCCCACCCCCCCCCCCCCCCCCCCTCGTCTCGTCCCAACCAGGGCGTGACAGCTATCTTTGTCGCAGTCTACAACTTCGAATCATCCCGCTGCGTCAGCATGGCGAAGCTTCTCCTAGACCACGGCGCCAAGGTCACCGTGCGCGCCGTGGACTCCCCCGCTGCCAGCAAGCTGTGCTACCTCAAGCATGAGTCCCCTACGGGGAGCCCGGGCAGTCCCAGGAGCCCCAGGAGCCCCAGGGGCATGGCGGCAGGGAGGAAGGACGAGACGCGCAAGGTCTCAGTGGCCAACAAGACACCTCTTCTGGTGAGATTCCGGAGAGTTCTGATTGAATCTTAGCTGCGTTTGCATTGCTTCTCATAGGCCATGGCGCCAAGGTCACCGTGCCGCGCGCCATGGACTCCCCCGCGGCCACGACTCGCCGCCCTCTGCTAGGTCTGGAAGCCCGGTAGGTTCGGGCAGCCCGGTAGGTTCGGGCAGCCTGTTCAGTCCCAGGAGCCCGAGGATTTCGAGAGGGCTGGTGGGGAGGAAGGACGAGACTCGCAAGGTGGCAGTGGCCAACAAGACGCCTCTGCTGGTGAGGTAACCGAGACTTTCAATGCCTTTTTTATACCTTTTGTTCTGGTGAGTCTTCTGGAAAAAGGCAAAAAAAACAAACAAACAAACACTCGCACGTCGCGTCTCTGGTGAATTTTCAGAACTGGAGAAGCACAACTAAATAGAGACTGCTCTATGCTGAGAGGCTGAGGCGGGGGCATTGCCCTTGACAGGGCATTCCAGACGACGATTACCCGCTCAATCATGCTCTGCCATCCCTCTTCGCCACTCTCCACCATCCTCCACTCCACACGTCTCTGAGGCCCAGCCTGTGATTGAAGGGCTGGGACTGTCGCCACTACGGCGCGATGCTGCACCTGCTTGGGTGAATCAATACCATGTACTGTTATCCCTCTTCACCACTCTTCACCACTTGTCGCTACTCTCCATCCTTCTCCACCCACAGGTGGCACTGGAGCTCAAGTCTAGCCTGTATCTGAAGGGCTGGGACTACCGCCATTGGGATGCCATGCTGGACCTGCTTGCTGACGCGACAGTTGCTGAGCTGGCAGGCCACCCGTTCCATGGGCCGGGGCCGGCGCAGCTGCCAGCTGTAGCAGACGGCTGGGCGGCGGTCTTTGGCAGTGGAGGGCATGAGCTGGTGGAGGTGTGGGCTGAGGGGAAGCACATTGATGTGTTGAAGATGCTTCTGGTGGTGCAGTCTAAGGTGAGATGCGGTGAAGTGTGGTGCGGTGCGCTG